CTTCGCAACCTCCTCATTAATAGCTTTCTGTCTATCCGACGCTAAACTCCTCCTTTTTGGCCATACTGACATGCAATTCGGATCAACGCTAAGCCTGTGCATAATCACCGCGGGATCTATACCTTCCATATCTTCTTGTCTTCAGGAGAAAACGTCAACGTTCTCCTTTAGAAATGAGATGAGTTTCTCCTTAATAAACGGGAACAGCATGGATCCGACAAATACTACGTGCTCTTGGTCCTCGTCCAGCTGCACTCCAATTGTTTTGAGGGGGTAGGCTAAGTTTCCAACTCATCCCTCATATCTAGGTCTTGCAATTGGACTAATTCTACCTCCTTTCACCTCATTGATGCCGCATAACATTCCCTGGCAAGGTGCTAGTCTCCTCTAACCATACGACCCCATTTTCAGTGACGTACTTTCATCACCAAATGATAAGCTAAGGGTATCGCCTTGATGGAGTTGAGGGACGACCTTCCCAGCAGGACATTGTAGGTAGAAGGAGCGTCCACCACCTGGAAACAGGCGGTGGTTGTACCCTGGCAAGGTTAATCTCCTACAGTAAGGACCAGCTGGATAGAGCCAATTGACAGAACTCTTTCACTTGAGAAACCCAGGAGATGGGTTTTCATGGGTTCGAGCCTCATCCTTTCTATGCCGAGCTGATCAAAGTTAGATAGAAAAATGATGTCGACCGAGCTGCCATTATCGACGAGCATTCGATGTATAGTTTTGTTCACGATGATCGCCTTTATGACCAGGGGGTTGTCATGTGGGAGCTGGCACCCTTCGAGATCTGTGTTAGAAAAAGTGATCTCCACATCTCGACGGGACGCCTTACTAATGGCCTAGATCTCGAGGAAGTCTTTTGATCGGGCTATTCTGGCTTGTGCCTTCCACGCTGAACTGGACTCACCCCCTTCTGAGAAGCCCCCCAAGATGACCCAAATTTCGCCAAGAGCTTGTTGGTGCTGTTAAGGAGGTGCTGCAGTAGCTCGAGCTTCCCGCCCTTGATTATTCTGTGTTCTTCCTTCTCTTGCCACGTAGTGGTGCAAGTGCCCCCTCTGAATTAGGTATTTGATCTCCTTCTTGAGTTTGACGCAATCATTCATCTCATGGCCCGTGTCTTTGTGGTACTCATAGTATTTGGATGCATCCCGCCTATTAGGGTCAAACTTTATCTAGGGCGGCCATCAGATGAACCTTTCATTCTGAACCTCGTGGAGGACTTGAGCAATCGAGGTGACTAGGGGTGGAAGCTACACTGGAGCGTATCGCAATTGTAATTCTTGTGGAAGGGGTCCCAAGCGATCTTGGACATTGCCTCTCCTCTTCGGATGAGGCTCCCTCCCTCTCCTCGGAGAATGATCTCTTCTTGGGGACCGATCGTGCCTCTTCTCTTTCCTGAGACTACAGTCCCTTTTCTTCTTGTCTCATTTTGCCACCATCGAGCACCCTTTCAAGCGGAGAGCCTATTCGCCATTGATGTATTTCTCGACTTTCACCAATACTTCGGCTATAGTGGCTTGAGGGTTCTTTTTGATTGAGAAGAAAAGGTCCTTAGACTGCACTCCGAGTTCGTATATGAAGGTGCTTAGCACGAACTTGTCGTCCACACTCTCCACCTTCATATATTCCTGGTTGAAGTGTTGCACGTAGCTTCTAAGGGACTTGTTGGGTTCCTATTTGATGTTCAGGAGGTGATAGGACAGTTTCCTGTACGTCCTTACTCTGATGAAATGCGACATGAATTGTATTGATAGTTCTCTGAAGGAGGAGATCGATGCTGGTTGTAGCTCGTTAAACCAGGTTTTTACCAGCCCCTTAAGGGTGATGGCAAAAGCTCGACAGCATATTGGGTCTAGATACCGTTGGAGTTCCATCTAATTTTTATAGAAATTCAAGTGGTCAACTAGGTCCTTGGTCCTGTAGAACGCCTCTATTGATGGCATCTGGAACTTCTGGGGAAAGGGAAATAAAGGACCTCGGGAGCGAACAACGACTCGATTTGCTGGACCAGCCGTCCCTCCCTTGACCACCTCCTTTACGTTGCCCAACTCCTGCTGGAGTTCGTAGATTTTTTGCTCCTACGTATGATCATCTAGCGAGTGATGGGGTCTGTCTTCTCGGAAGGCAGCTCTAGCCCAGCTGTGGGCTTCATCTTTGTCGTGTTCTTCAGGTTGTCTCCTCTGGTGATTTTCCCTAGAGTGGTTGCGCTCATGGAGTTCAGTTACTCCACTTGGTGAAGCTTGGCGCTCCTGATGAGGGGCGTCGTGTTCTACTGGGGTGGGGGGTTCTTGTCAAGCTGGTGGGAATCGAGAAAGTTGATGTGTCTGTATCCACTTCATCAGTTCCTGGTTCTGTTTTATCAGTTGCATTGTAGTTCAATTGTAGGTTTCTAGTTCATTAAGTGGGGGGAGGTTCGCCGCTGGGAGGTGATCCTCGGCGTCCACTTCGGGGACCGAAAAGTTCTCTGGTAAGTTTTGGTGGACTTGGGGATTGGCTGGAGCTTTACTCATGTTCCTATTTAAAACCGTCAAATAGATAAAAACTCAAAAGAAAAACGATGAAAACCGTTCTCATAAACGGCGCAAACTAATGGTGTCCCAGAAATTACTGCCTAAGCCCAACTTATGGGCTGTTAATGAATTTTAGTAAATTTGTTGGGATAAGTGGTTAACCTACAGAGAGAGGAAGACACAGAAGATAAGTTCACTTTAGCCGAGAGACCAAGGCTACATCCACTATAATGGAGTCTCTTGTTCCTTAAAGTCGTATATTGAGATTGGGCAAGTATATCGAGATTGTTGGCACTGGGCCTTTACGAGGGCTTATGCTTAGTTCGTTGTGCATATAGAGCTAAAAAATATATTGGGGGAGAGATACTTTTGGTAGGTTTACACTATTCTATTTATATCAATTCTTCATAGGGTTCCTGGTGGCTCATTCTACCTTTTTATTGATCCTGTGCGTACCTTCTGTCCTTGTCTTGCAAAAGCCTCTATTAGCCGGCGCTACCATCCTCTACGTCTGGGAGGGTGTAACTGTCATATGTTTCAGAGATGTTCCCCTTGTCTTTTGGACACATGGCATAGCGGGATGCTTCCAGGGCAAAGGTTCGAATCCTCTTTCTCGGATGGTCCCTTTCTGCTCTTGATGTGGGCTAACCAGAGACGCCTCTTTTAGTCAATGGGCCCTGCCTTTGGATTCTCAAGGTGTATTGGGCTCAGAGGCTGTGGCGGCCCATGTCCAAAATTCCACCCTTATCAATTTCATATTGGGTTCATAAGAATTTAAAGTTCATGGACTCGTTTGATAGACGTATTATTAGTGGATTAAATATTGTATTATACTATTATTTATTTAATCAGGTCTAATAGTTTATTTAGTAAATAAATTTGATTATGTATTAATTTCAAAAATATATACTAATCGTATATTTGTCATATATTTTTAGTATCATAGACTTGTATTATGGAAGTATTTTAATACCACCAGGAGATGTATTATTATAATTCATCTCAAATGTATTATTGTACACATTTACTATTATAACCTCACAACTAATAAAATCAAGTTGTTATCAATATAACAAACATTGATTGAAAGTGTTTTTGTTAATTCAACATTAATACCATGAAATAATGAATTAAATAACTACTATTCAACGCTTATGTTTTATATTCTCAAACACTATATAAAATTACATATTATTCTAATACTCTATTTAATTTTGTCTTTTATCCATCTGTATTGTATTAAACTATATTATTTTATTCAATCCATCTATTTTTAATACGGTAACCAAATAAACCCTCAAAGTGCAAATCAACATATATAAGTATTCCAAACAAACTTGCCCACACGATATAAGATTCGGGAACCATAAACAACTCAAATGAGTGGATCTTGATCCAACACAAATGAAGATGTTGGGTTGTTGGCAGAACATTTGCAACTAAGGCCCAGAATCTTGTCAATACTTGCCTAATGCCTTTGTTTTTCTGGTCCAATCTGAAATTAAAAAAAAAAAAAAAAAAAAATTCTAATGGCATATTTTCATTTTTTAATCCCGAAATTGAAAATCTTGGGTCAATTGGTTCACTAAGCAAATCAATTGCACCAACAAGCCGAAGCTTAGGCACATCCAATTGGTATGCTATAAGTGTTAGGATGAGTGGGTACGTATAGAGTCAAATTTTGCAATGTTGTGCGAAAGAAGTAGTTGAGGTGTTTGGATAGAAGTAGATCAGATACCGGGTTGACACTTTTTAACACAACTCATTACTTAGATACAAACTTGGTATGAAATTATTGAACTATGGGCTTAACAAGAGTTCGGTTCATAATCGGATTAACTTTATAAATGAGTCAATACAAATTCAGAAACAACTGAATATAAATTAGTAATGTATAAATTGAACATGTTTCTGACACGAAATTATTTACAGGATTTAGACAGTTTGACTCGGAGTATTTTGTCACTGTTGAATGTAATCAGCAATCAACCAACCCTAATTGCGTGTGAAAAAATTTCTAAGGCTATTTCATATTACTCCAGCACTCCAGCTCGTCATTTTTTGTTCGGATTGCTGCTCTTCATGGAATTTGAGGATTTGCTTCGCCAAACATACCTTAGCTACATTGACCTCTGACCCTTATTTGGATCAAATTAAGCCTGCTGCTAATACATAGCATTATTTCACAAGAATATTATGACAAATATCCGGTCACAATTGAAATTTGTTTATTTTTGAAACGTGATTTGTTTGTCCTCTGAATAAACAATAATGATTTGTCATTGTCACTACATGGGAACACCCATACGCTCCATGCATGTCCTCCAAGCTTTGAAAACTCCCTCCAACCTTCCCTTATGAATACATCTCTCCTCTCCTTCCTTGTGCTGGTCTCTCTCTCTCTCTCTCTCTCTCTCTCTCTCTCTCTCTCTCTATATATATATATATATATATATATTTCTCTCTATTCTGTTCTCTGTCATGTCACTTGAACCCCGTCTCTTGAACCCAGTTTGCGACAGTGGTGATGGCCACCATCAAACCCTCCCAGAAAACAAACCCAGTTCAGATCCTCTAGAAATACCTCTGGATCTCCCACCAGACTCTTTCTGGGTCCCAAAAGAACAAGAACTCGATTGGATCAATCACAATGCATTCATCGAACGCAAGGGTTCAATCAAAGCCGTTCTCTCCCAAAACTTTAACTCCAATTCCATCTTATCTCCACAACGTTCGTTGTCTATGAATCATAAATCCAAAGCATCAATCTTTGGACTCCCCAAGGCTCAGAAGTATTGCCCTGTTGATGTAAATCTGCGTAGAAAATGCAAGGAAGGTAAGGTCAGGTTGGTCCGAAGTAGGTCTGAACCGGACAGAAAGTGGCTAGAGCAGGGGACTGAGCCGGGGTCTCCGAGAGTTTCTTGCATGGGGAAGGTAGGTTCGAAGAGAGGGAAGGGTAAGAGGACCGGGTTCTGGTCAAGGGTTAAGGTGGTAATTTGGACAGGGTTTTTGACGAACCGGGTAGTAAGTAAGGGGAGTGCCGAATTGGTTGAGCCGGAGATTGGACCGGATACGTTGGTGGAGCTCAAGCGGTTCGAGTCTGGTAGGCGGTCAGAGTCGTAGGGCGGCAACGATATTGATCGTTGGATCTGTTAGAGGGTCCATCGAATGGTCCTTGATTGCAGCTTTGAATGTAAGCAAATGGAGCCCAGTTCCTATGCCCCACCATTTGAAAATTGCCCCACTTGGTTTTTCCATTTGTATTTTTCTTTGTAAGTATTTGTCTTTTATTTTCTTTTGAAAAAAATTATGAAAGCTGCACTTTGCGTGATGTCAACTCTGTTTTGTCTTGTCTTGAAAAAATTATAAGCCTTCACAAAAACATTTTATCCTAATTTATCTAACTAATTTACGAACTCAATCAATCAATCGTTAAATCAATTGAATTAATCTATAACAAGACGATAAACCCAACAAATTTTTGGTTTTTATGTTTGTGACTCTTAGATGCTTAATTTAGAAAAATAAATATGAAAAATTATTCACAAACAATGACATATTTTAGATGTATATTGAAGAGGTTGTATGTGTCATCTCACACTATGCTTGCTCAATTTTTATATTGTACCGAGTCAAACAAGTGTCCGTTTCGTAGTTCTATGCACAAGTGATAAAATGCATAGTCGAGCCAACCTAGCTCATTGCCTTGGGTCATTTGTTGAAGTCAATATAGGTGTAATTCCTTCCTTATCTTTTGAAATAGTGTTTTCTTATGTAACCCATCAATCGAAGAATTTGGATATGGACTAATCTCAACTTGTATCTCAAAAGATCATCGAATTTTAATTTGTATTTTTAATATTTAAAAATATTAATTTATATCTTGAAAGATATAAATACGTATCAATATGTACTTGAGACTAATTACCATCTATTTTACCTTTAAAAAAGTATAAATTAATTATAAATTACATCCTTTAAAGTTAAATATTTCGTATTTATGATTCAAAAAACATTTTATCCATTAACAGTCATAATATTTTTTTATCGTGTCGAGTCAATAGAAAAATATTTTTAACACAGCCCAGATCTAAACCCAGTTTGACACCTAGTTCGCCAATTCCAGTGAAGTCCACCAAAAGGTCCGCGGAGAGCGAAGACAAGGAACCGAAGAGAGCAAAGTGAAAAACGGACGTTGGGATTCGGAGAGGAAGTATTGGACTGTAACAACTGTGGATGATTCAAAATAGACAGTATTTGGTGAAGAAAATAGAGGAAGAAGACAAGGAGTCTTCAAATCTGAAAGACCGCCACTGATTCTTCCCCATCACGCGACTGCCGCTACAACTACTGCTGAGGAGCAAGAGTCTTTCGGTGACGGAGGTATATTATTGGGTTTGCATCCATCAGACCAAGAGAGAAGTGGCGCAGGGGGCAGTCGGAAATAATCGTGTGAATGCCAACGGCGGTATTTTTGTATTAAATAAAAAATAAAATAATTAGGTTGGATTAAAGAAAAAAATATGTCCGCTCAGTTGGACCTAACGCTTTAAAAAGTTCATTTCTGAACTTAATGACAAATTAGGTACCGAATTTTATAGTTTTCAACAATTCTCACATAATTGTATCAAATTGATCTTTAATTTTGTTTGATTAATATCCAATTAATATTTAATTTTATCAAATTAACGTTGAATTAATATTAAATTTTATTAAATTGATATTAAATTTTGTCAAATTAATATTCACATTCATCAAATTTGCATTCAATTCATCTAAATAACATTAATTCAATTTTATAAAATTAACACGAAATTAACATTCAAGTTTATCAAAACCACATTAAACTTTATCAAATTAACTACCAAACTAATATTCAATTTTATCAAATTAACATTAAATTTCATCAAATTAATATAAGATTTTACCAAATTAACATGAAATTAATCTTAGCAAATTAACATTCAATTTCATCAAATTGATATTCAATTTTATAAAATTAACACCAAATCAATATTTAATTAATTTAAAATTTAATTTCATCAAATTAACCCCCAAATTAACAATTAATTCCATCAATTTGATATCCAATTTATCAAATTAACATTATTTTTTATTAAATTTCAAATAAACATTCAATTTCATCAAATCAATACCAAATAGTCATTTAATTTTTTGAATTTTAATATTTAGTTTTATCAAATTAATATTATTTTTTTAAATTAACACCAAATTAACATTTTATTTAATCCATTTCTTTTATAGGAAACATCCTATTTAATTCAATTAATATTTAATTTAATTAAATTAATTTAATACTAAAAAGATGTTTCCTACTACTTTAAGCTTGTTTTATATGGCCAAATGTAAATTTGGCAACTTACAAGACAATAAGCTATCACATCACACTTTTTTGCTTATCAGTAATGACATTAGACGGCAGGGTAGCTTGTGAAACATGCATATAAACAACGGAGATCTGCAATTATGTTTCAAAAAATAGAGAGAGGGTCAATGAAATATAACTGAAATCTTAGGGGGTGTCAACTAAATTTACCCATCATAATACCGAGGGACTTAGGGGTGTCCATGTACCAGATTGTCCACGGGTCCTGTTACTCAGACAAAAAAAAAATAGGTCCAAACTCCGACAGTTAGCTCGCTCCAAACCAATATCATTTAAAAGAGGGTTTGGGCCTACTCCTAACCCATTAGCCTGCCCAATAGTCCGCCCGCAAAAGCCCTTTAAAACCAACACAACCCAATGGGCCCTCTTACCCAACCTAGTCAAAGCAGGGAAATAAATCTCCTAATATCGGAATTCAAAGTTTTAAAAATTTAATATTATAAATAATGTATTCTTTTTTTTTTAGGTATTAAACATATATACTTTAAATGGTAGAATTGTGTAAATGATAGATAGGTGGGTAGGTGTCAACCTAGTTAGATGTGTTCATTCTATTATGATGTAGTTTCTCCCCTATTTATAAATAAAATTATTCATTATTATTTTTTGTCCATTTTTACTCTACTTTTAATTCAAAAATATAATTTACAAAATTATTAAGTTACAAAAATATTCATTATTTCTAAATAAAGTTATATATAAAAACCCGTCTAGTAGACCCTCCTACAGATCCGCCCCAACAGGCCCAACCAATAAGTGGTGAGTTGGACTATAGGTAACCTATCTCTATTCGAAGTCCAGCCTGACCCACCCAATAACTCACTTAGGTAAAGGTTTGAGTCTACCCTATCCAAGCATAGGCTAAAAAAAATTTGTGAAAATTGGAAGTGAGTCCCTCTAAATGTACTTGTTTGGAGATAAGTCCTGCAAAGAAACTTATAAGGGACTAAATCCATGTTTAAAATTATATGTAATGACTTAAGTTCAATTTTTTTTTATCTCAAAAATATCTTTATTTGAAAGGAAATTAATCTTTTTTCTCTCATATCTATCTATATTCATATATAAGTTAGATATGTGTGTGTGTGTATATATATATATATATATATATTAATAAAAATAGTAACATTCAAATACATAAAAAAAATTATTATGAATTTGAATAGTAAAATTAAAATTTATGTTACTATTTTTTTTATTATGTTATTATTCATGTTACTACTTTTGTTGAGTATGTTATTTTTCATGTATTATTATTTTTTATCATGTTACTATTTTTGTTGATCATGTTACTACTATTATTTTTCTAAATATTAATATTCAATGTTACTATTTTTTTTTTTGAATATTACTATTTTTTGTATTTGAATGGAACTATTTTTTACGTTTGAATTTGAGAGAAATAATTATTGTTAAGTATGTTATAGTTTTTACTAAGCATGTTACTATTTTTGTTGAATATATTACTGTTGTTATTTTTTAAAAATATTAATATTGAATGTTTCAATATTTTTATGTTTAAATATTACTATTTTTTTGTGTTTAAATGTATTATTTTTTGTATCCAGATGATAATTATTTTTTATTTGAATTTTTTTATTTTTTTTATTTTTAATGTTAATATATATACTAGTAATTATCTGTGCCTGAAGGCACGGTATTACTCATAAATTAATTACAAATATTTACTCATATATAAATGTAAAGTAAAATACAATATTATAGTAAACGACGAACAAAATGAGTCCACTAATATTTTTTATAGCATCAACCTACATGCAAAATTATGTTAATTATTACACCATGAAAATTATGTTATAATTACTGAAACATAATAATTCAAACATCTGAAAAATTATATCAGTTGACAATATTCAATATTTTGTTTTTGATTCAAAATTCACAAATTTAACATTCATAATCAATTTTATGGTCACGAAACAATCATATATCGAGACAGTTTGGAATAACGTCAATTGTTGGATAATGTCCTTTTTTGCCACAAAACAATCTCAACTGCTATTTGTCTCTAAAATTCAAATTTGTTCTATTTTATATATATATATATATATATATATATATATATATATATATATATATATATATATATATATATATATATATATATATATATATATATATATATATATATATAGATAACCTAAACATAGATAGATAAGAGAGAGGGGAAATTTTAATGTTAATTAAACTCTTAACCTATATATGGATATAGATAGATATGAGAGAGAAAATATTTTAATGTTAGTCAAACTCCTAAGATTTAGAAGTTTTTAATTTTTAGTTTTATTTCACAGTTAAAGGGAGGGATAATATAGTAAAATTGACACAAATAAGTTTTTTTGACGGACTTAAGTTCAAACAAGTCCATATAAGGGGATCGGTCTCCAAATTTTTCAAAAATTTTCACAGGCTGATCTCAGCCCAGCCCATGGACTCCCTAAAAGGACCCCTTGTGACATTATAGATAGACCCGTTGGCTTTGTCAACCAACTCCGCATCACCGGAAAAAAACCCGAAAATAAGCGGAGAAAAAATTTAATTGGACGATGTCATCGACAAAGAATGACTGTGAATGCTCACTGTGCGATTTTTTGGATGATTTTTTTTATGATATCAAGGTTTCATTGGACCCTAATTTGGACTCCAGGGGATTGACTATTGGAAAACTCTACGTTTTGCAGGAGAACAACAATGATGACGACGAAGAATTAGAAAGTGTTAGTAAGTCACCTCTTTCTCGCTGTCTATGTATGTCACATGTACACTAATTACAATTATTATCACACCAATGTAAGTAATAGTTGATTACATAGTTTTATTCATTCGGAAAAACAAAAAAAGGTTGGGTGGGACTTTTTTTATCTCTTAAATCTCTTTTTTCATCTCATTTAATCTTCTTATTTCAAACTACTAAATTCACTTCATCTATACTCATCTCATTAGTTACTAATTTCACTCCTAATATACCCATTCAATTAAATTATTAAATTTATATCAAAAGAACTAAAACAAAAATAGTAATTGAAGTAAAATTTCAATATTCCGTGGTGATCTAATATTATTTGGAAATATTTTGAGATATTTTGATATATTTTCACCGATGTCTTTGAAATATTTTGAGGTATTTTAAGATATTTTGGTATATTTCGACTAATATAAATCAAACCAAACGAAGCTTTATGTACCAATCGTTTGGGGTCAGTTATATGAGTTCGTCTTTGTCATTCATTTCAATCATGCATTATACGCTCATTTAAGTTAAATATTTTTATATTTTTTCTTATTATTTTGTTCAATGTTAATTTAGGTCTCCCCTTACTTCTAGTACTATTAAGAGAAATTCTCTCATTTTTTTCGAACCAGTGTCTTTATCGGCTTCCATTGAACATAATCAAACCATCTTAATTTATTTTCTCTTAAATTACCCTCAATTGAAGTTATTTCTACCATTTCTCTAATACGGTCATTTCGTATTCTATCCCTTTTAATTTTTTCACACATCCACCTTAGCATTCTCATTTACGCTACACTCATTTTGTCATTATGTTATTTCCTAATTGCCTAACATTCTGTCACATACAATATTATTGTCCTTATAACTGTTCAGTAAAACTTATCTTTCAATTTTATTGGTATTTTTCTATCACATAATATGCTAAAGGCTTTCCTCCACTTAAACCGGCGTTGATTCTATAAGTTATATTATCTCCAATCTCTCCATCATTTTTAATATCGATCTTAGATATCTAAATTGTTTACTCATTCGTATTTCTTGATTTTCAATCTTAACTTTTTTACTATGTCCACTTCTTCTATTACTAA